TAACGCAATGATATCATGCAACATACACACTAAGACATCGATAAACACACATAACAAACACGCAGATGGGACATGACAAATACACGCCTGGGTTACAAGTTCAACGAATCCAACGTGTTAAACATGTTATGAACCTGTTACACTCGCATTGAACACAAGTGGTATACGCAAAAATGGCACCAGTGGGGGTGGGTTATTCATCTGGGAGGCACGTATCATACATAAACGAGGCATCGTGAACATAACAAAAACATCCTTGATGCGATGATGCGACATTGCGTAAACGTCGTGCAACCATAACGAACGCATGGATAGTACACACACGACACGTACGTTGGACATCGCTGGGACAGCAATCAATGCAAATTTAGATGTACGCATCTGTCCAGATTGTCCTAGCAGTGCTTGCACTTATGAGTTTTTGCTTCTGTTATATGGAGCTGGGCCTGGGTGTCAGTCTGGCGGTTCCGTGCTCGCCGTCGCCGCCCCGTCGCCGCTCCGTCGCCGCCAGGCATCTGGGCCTGGGTGTCGGTCTGGCGGCTCTGTGCTCGCCGTCGCCGCAATGTCACCGCTTCGTCGCCGCTCGTCGTCTGGGCCTCGCCGACGCCGCTTCGTCGCCACCTCGGCGCCGCCCGGCATCTGGGCCTGTGTGTCTGTCTGGCGGCCCCGTGCTCGCCGTCGCCGCTCCGTCGCCGCTCCGTCGCCGCCAGGCATCTGGGCCTGGGTGTCGGTCTGGCGGCTCTGTGCTCGCCGTCGCCGCCTCGACGCCGCGTCGTCGCGGCCTCTCGTCATCGTCTTTTCTTGCAGAGTATTAAAGTATACCCCCCGCCCGGGTTACCGGTACACCACTTCGCATTGCAATTTACATATGGCTCTGCCCTATCGCCCATCCGAAATATGAATTCGTACCATCCCATCGCGTTCCCCCCCTCATCCTCTGCAGAAAACGCTATGTGCGCGCACTCGTTTATCACAAATCAGGATTACCAGCTCTCGCTTGCAAACAAAACACACACACACACAACAAACAAATGAACACGCGCGTGACGTCGCGCGCGCATGCCGAAAACCTTTTCAAACACATCAAGTACCGTAAGGATTTCAATATCAAAAGTCACGAAAACATTCAAACACACACGGTTTCGGAACAGGGGTGTAACAAAGCACTGGGCCCGCGCTCTCACGAATTCTTGAACAAAGCCATCGATGTGCAACATGTTAATAACACGCTACCAAGCGGACGTCTCGCGCGCATGTCGAAATCGTTCGGACTCCCTTGCGCGCGTGCTGTTGCAAAACCCCTGGCGACAAACGAGACGAAGCGCACGCGCGCGCGTCGTCGCGCGCATGCCTGAATCCTTCAAAAACCTTGCGTACTGACTTCAAAAACGAATTCCCCGAAAACCTATAAACACACATGGTTTTGCAACACCTGTTTTCAAAAACATGTTGCGCTCGCGTGTTCGCGGATTCTTAAGACAACCATTGGTTATTGAACATTTTCATAAAATGCTACCATGCGTGCCTCTCGCGCGCGCGTCGAAATCATTCGAACGCCCTTGCGCGCGTGCTGGGCGGGCACGACCACTGTCGAATAATACCTTGCGGTTTGCGCGCGTCGGCCGCGCGCGCATGTCGAACTACTTCCAAAACCGCCATCACCGACGCGAAGACACCACCATCGTCATCGGCGTAATCAACATCGACGCCGTCATTGGCCTTGCAGTCGTCCTCGTCATCGCTGCCACCCTTTATTCGCATCATTGTGTCTACCGCTTTCGGCATCGCCATGATACCGCGCCCGACCAAGTCACCGACTCGCACTGAAGTGCTGCGAAGAGCCCAGCGGTCAGCGCCACCGCGGCCGCGTCGGTCGCGCCAAACTAACTGGCCGCTGCGCGCGCGAGCATGCGCGGGCTGGCGCGGCCGCAGAGACGCACCAGCCAATGCCAAGCGCTCATCGCAATCGCCCCGGCATGGGTTTTGCAGGCCAAGCTGCGGGTGGGACGGGCGGGGCGTTCGCAAGGGCATGGGATTCGTCAACCCATTTGGGAAAAAAAACTCCCTTCTTAAACGAGAAAACATTCGACCCCCCCACAAGGGCTATCGGACCCCCTTTTTTCGTATTGCAATTTGCATATGATTCTGCCCCATCGTCCATCCAAGCTATGAGTTTATACCATCCCAGCCAGGCTTTGATCGACACCCCGCCACACGTTTTCTAAAAATCACACGTTTTCAAACATCCCCTGCTACATATGGAACGAGCTGCACGCGCGCGCGTCGTCGCGCGCGCGCGCCGGAATCCTTCGATATCCTGCGGTTCCGAAAGGATTCCAAAACCGAGTGTCCAAACAATTTATAGCAACACATAGCTTCGCAACGCGAAATTTCAAAGAAAGCTTGCGCGCGCGCTCCTGCAAATTCCTAAGACAATCATCGGTTTTTCAAAATTTCCTTAACATGCTACCAAACAAGCTTCGCGCCCGCGCGCGTGTGTCAAAATCGTTCGAACACCCTTGCGCGCGTTCGCGAGAATCGTCTGCACGAGGTGAAATGAAGTGCATGCGCACGCGTCGTCGCGCGCGCGTGCCAAAATCCTGCAAGAACTTGCGGCGTCGTAAGGATGTCAAAATCGAGCGTCAAAAACGTGTAAAACACTTGGTTTCGCAACATCAGTCTTCAAAAAAGCGGCGCTCACGCCCTTGCGAAGACTTGAGAACCATAAATTGCTTAACGTGTTCGTTGAGTTCTGCCAAGCGATCCACTCGCGCAGCGTGTCGAAATCATTCGGCCCCTTTGCGCGCGTGCTGGGGGGGAACGCACCGCGTCAAATAATGCCGCGCGGGCCACTCCCGCGCGCGGGCGGCGCGCGCGCGTCGAACTCCTTCCGCAGCCTTCGCCGCCGACGCGAGGGCGCCGTCATCGTCGTCGGCGCGATCGGCATCGGCGCCGTCGCTGGCCGCGCCATCGCCGCTGTCAGCATCGCCACCAACGCCGCTACTATCATCGTCGCGTCTACCGTCGTCGACGCTGCCATGGTACCGCGCCCGCCTAAGTCGCCGATTCGCAATGAAATGTCCGCTGGGATGTGCCCTGCCCGCCGGTCCGCGCCACCGCGGCCGCGTCGGTCGCGCCAAACTAGCTGGCCGCTGCGCGCGCGAGCATGCGCGGGCTAGCGCGGCCACAAAGACGCACCAGCCAACGCCAGCATGCATCGCAATCGCCCCCGCATGGGTTTTGCAGACCAAGTTGCGGGTGGGACAGGTGGGGCGTTCGCAAGGGCATGGGATTCGTCGACCCATTTGTAAAAAACAGTTCTCCTTTTTTAAACAACAAAAACACAGGGTTTCGCAACACTGATTTGCAAAAAAAGCTTCCGCGCGAGCTTTTGCGAAATCTAAAGAAAACCATGGGTTTTTCATGATTCTCACAAAATGCTATTAAACGGGCTTCGCGCGCGCATGTCGAAATCTGTCGAACGCCCTTGCGCGTGTGCCGTCGCGAGAATCCTCTGCAAAAAAATGGGACGAAGTGCAGACGCGCGCGTCGTCGCGCGCGTATGCCGAAATCCTTCAAAACCCATCGGTTTCGGAAGGATTTCAAAATCGTGTGTCCAAAAAACCTACAAAAGCCCTAGGTTTCGCAACACGGATGTTCAACAAAAGCGTGCGCGCGCGCTCTTGCGTCGTCGTCGTCGTCGCAGTCCTACCTCCCGCGTCGTCGTCGTCGTCGCCTACGTCGTCCTCTGTCTTTCCTCGTGTTCGTCGTCGTCGTCCTCGTTGGCGTCGTGGTCGTTTCCGTCGTCGTTGTCGCCGTGGTCGTCCTTCCTCCTCCTCCCTCGTCGTCGTCGTCGTCGTCCGTAGTCGGCGTTTCGTCGTCGTCCCTCCTATTTCGTCGCCGTCGTCGTCGTCGTCGTCGTCGTTGTCGTCGTCGTCGTCTTCCTTCCTCCCTCGTCTTTGTCGTCGTCGGCGTCGCCGTCCTTCCTCCTTCTTAGTCGTTCGCGTCGTCGCCGTCCTCCCTCCTCCCTCGTCGTTGTCGTCGTTGCCGTCGTCGTCCATCCTCCTCCCTCGTCGTCGTCTTCGTTGGCGACGTCGTTGCCGTCGTCGTCCTTGTCTTCGTCGTCGTCGTCGTCGGCGTCGTCGTCGCCGGCGTCGTCGTCGTCGTTGTCATCGTCGTCGTCGTCGGCGTCGTCGTCGTCGTCGGTGTCGTCGTCGTCGTCGTGGTCGCTGTCGTCGTCGAAGTCCTTGGAGATGTCGTCGGCGTCGTCGTCGTCGGTGTCGGCGGCGCCGTCGTCGTCGTTGTCGCTGTCGTCGTCGGCGTCGTGGCCAAGTGCCATGTGGTACCTACCGTCACGGTCTTGTCTTAAGAGGTCTTGCGACCAAGTTGCGGGTGGGAGGGTGGGATGTTTGCACGAGCAGTGGAGAGGACAACTTCAAGACGGTCAAAGTGGGTTGCACCACATAGATTCCACCGCGTAGAATGCACAGCATCTATTGCGCAACCTAAACTGCAACGCGTGTATTGCACAACATAGATCACACAACATATATTGTACAACATAGGCCGCAACACGTGCACTGCACCGTAACTAATGCACCGCAAATATGTCCCCAGCGCCACATATATTGTCACACATTGAGTGCACGTTCCATATATTTAGTGCTAGAACACACGCTGGTTGGGGTCCTGGCAGGCTAATATATATATTTACATATATATATATATAGATGTATATATATATATATATATATACAAACATATCTGTATATATATATACATAAGGTCTTGATGATCAGGCGCATGAGCTGCTGAAGGTCAGCACTGAATGCGAATGTCTCTATCATGGCTGCAGTAAGGGTTCAAATATTAGAAAAAGGGACTGCAACAATCTTATGACATGTCGAAAATACACTCAGCAAAGCACATGGTATACAGGCAGGCTGTCGTGACGGCGTCGGCCGTATTCAGCCAACGCATCGCTGACCAGTCATGCATCAACCATTGGCATGTATGTGTGAATGGATGCGCGTGTAGCGCTAACCAGAACATCATTCAGACATAAGTATGGCACGGTTATGCATCACGAAGCCAAACGAAACGAACACACAAGTATGCTGCACATTTACGTGACTGGCGCAAGACTCCAATATGTTCTTTGGACATGACGAGCACACAACACATCAATCGGCCACTAACACACAAGGAATGCATGCGCCGTGCGAAAATACGACATAACGCCGGCACTTTCAAAGCGCAGGGGAACACACTTATTACATAACTTATGCGCTAGTCGGGCTCATCGCCTGCTCCGGTGCATGGACAAAAAATGTCCACACCCATGGCGGCAAGGCGATGCAAGACAATCACAACCACAACTGCGCAATGCCCTTCCTTCGCACCCCTCCCCCCGAAACCAAAGTTGGAATGTCCACAATTTGTCCCTGGCCTGCGGCCTACCGCGCGCGCCCGTCATTTTTGAATTTTGGGGAGGGGGGGTATACATTCTGGTCCGACGCGCTTTGACAACTCAGGGTCTTCGCGAGACACGTGGGAACACTTTAGTCCACCCGCCGTCCAAATTAGCGCACACGTCAGACACGGCAGAAGCACTGCACCTGCATCTCCAGGACACACGATGACATGCTGAATGCCCACTTACTGCAGACTTCGAGCATATTTGTTTTGTTGATCTTTGTTTACAGAAAAAACACGGCGCTTGCGCAGTAGCTGGTCGTGCAGCAAGTGCAGTATCCCCTGGCCGTCGTCTTGCAGGCCGTGTACGCGCGTTCCTCCCAAAGGCAGAACACTTGCACCTAAACGTTCTGCGGTCGATTTACCCTCACGTTTGGTGTTCAGGGGATTTGGGGCGCTTGCTTGCCTCTGCTGTTTTCCCCAGCCCACGGGAGAATCATCCACTGTGACGACAACGCGTCGAACCGTGGAAGAATATGATTGACGCACTGCCGAGAGCAGCCCAATACAGCATCAGGAAGGCCCAGTACGGATCCAAAAAGGCCCCACATCAGCCCAAGACAGCCCCAACACGGCCGAGACCGCCCCCCCCTATGAAAGCCCCCCCAAGAACCCAAACCAGTTTGAGATGTTACGGTCTACGGTGCTCGAAGTGTCGTCACCCAGGGTACTGAGATGCCACGGTGGCGGGACTTGCCGTAGGCACCTGGATTGAATGAAATGGTCAGTCAGCCTACCTTCTCAGCCGCCTCCTCAAGGCCTGAAGGCGTGGCCAACCCATTATATTCAAGTTCAAACGACATTCCGTTGGACAGAAAAAGACGGCCTCCCCGCGAGGGAGAACAACGATCCCCGACCGCCCCTGACCCCTAGAGACGGAGGAGTAGAAGGGAGGATGAAGGATGAACAAATACGGGGAGGAAAACGGGAAGGAGGAAGAGGGAGGATATGAGGACAGGTGCCGGCAGGGGTGAGCAAGAAAGGGGAAGGAGGATAGGAGGTTGAATGCAAGAGGAAGGATGAATGGGAGCAGGGGGAGGAGAAGGGCCACAATATTCGAAGACGTGTTCTCGAGGTGTGCAATACTCGTCTATCTCAGACGAGGCAAGACAGAAGCATTATTCTGATTCGTTGGCCCTGGTTCTGTCGAGGCGCACCGGCAGCTCTTCTGCGAAGCCGAGGGCCTCATTCACTTCGAGGCTCGTGGCGTGCAGCGCCAGCTGGTTGCGAAATCCCAGTGCAAGCACGTGGGTACACTGACTTGTTCCACAGACTCAATGCACCAAGAGATCTTTGCAGAAGTCGGCGCGTTGAAGGGAATGTTTCAACATTTGCGGCACACTAAGTATGCTGCAGCGGAGCTCTGTTCCGGTTGAAACACGGCTTGCGTTGTGCCAAGGGGTGGTGTTTACGCGTGGTCTTCAACAGGCGAGTACACGGCTCCAGTGCTCACGGCTGAGCTGATGAGAGTCCACACGGCTGTGATGCAGGTGTGTCCATCAGTTCTTAAAAAAGAAAAAAAAGAACTCGAACGACGTTCGTTGCCCGTCGCACCAGTCCAATTCTAAGCACGAATGCTGCATCGCACCTGCGACCATGACCTTGTGCATGCGAGTTGGGCTGCTCAGCAGAGTGTGTTTGAGGGCCCCGCGCGATCTGTGTATTGCGTTGTCCCACACCATTGGGGTTCGCAGGTTCTGGATGCATGCTTTTTCTGCAGATTTGGACTTGCTGACTTCGTGTTCTGGTTCGTCTGCTTAATACTACATACAGCGCATAGAAGAATGGTTTCCCGTGATACGTTCCAATCCGAAGCACTTCAGAGCGGTGCTGCAAGACGCCAGGCATGAACGTGCGTTTAACGAGGTGAGGACTTGGGCCAAAACCTGGCGGATGGCCGCAGAAACTGGCCCCCACGCTTTTTTGGTGCATGGTATACTGCGCCGCACGCGTGACCTGATTGACACATTTGGAAGAAGTTCGGGAAAACGGTGTGCTGTCGTTCGGGCGACTTTCAGCAAATTGCCAGACGATGTCATTTCCGACCTTGGTCGAAGGACGCCAGGGACAACCGCGAGCGAGCCATAAAAGGCCAGAAGCCACACCACGCTGACGCTCCGACCGGTCAGTTGGAAGGCCCGTGGATTTTGGAAGCGTATGAGGCCGGCTTGAGCCAGAAGTCTCCCCCCTCTTCTTGTCTCTCTCTGTCCGGTGAGCCAGGGGGCGCTGCTACAACACTGAAGTCCTCTTAAGGACGGTCCACCTGTGAACTGTCCTCTTCTGTGTGCCTACGCCATGCATGCTTCTCCCCGCACGCGCACGTTCCAAGCTGCCCGGAGACGCAGTGAGGAGGAGGATAGGGGGAAAGGAGGACGACGAGGGCAAAGGGGGGACACGAGGAGACGGAGGAGGAGGGCGCGGAGGAGGAGGCGAAGAGGCACAGGGGCAGGAGAAGGGGGGGACGAACTCTTCCCGACCGCCCGCACCGAGCCTACGAGCCAGCCGCCCGCGCCGCGAGAGCCCGCCCAGCCGTGGGCAGAGCGGGCCCCCGGGGCGAGCCGAGGAGAACGATCGCGGCGCGGGAGGGCCCCCCGACGTCCGCCCTCCGGGCAGGCACGACGGCACCGCGGGTGCGCTGCCGTGTCCCCTCGCAGCTTTCGAGCAAGACCTCCCCATCGCCGTCGCCGCCTCTCTCCTCCTCCTCCTCCTCCTCCTCCTCCTCCTCCTCCTCCTCCAACAATGTCTCCTGCTCACGCTGGACCAACAGAAGCACCAGGGCTGTTGCGTTCACCCAACTTCTTCTCCTCCTCCTCCTCCTCCTCCTCCTCCTCCTCCTATTACTTATCCTCCTGCTCGTCCTCGTACTTCTTCTCCTCCTCCTCCTCCTCGTCCTCCTCCTCCACATCATCATCATCATCATCATCATCATCATCATCATCATCATCATCATCATCATCATCATCATCATCATCATCATCATCATCATCATCATCATCATCCTCCCGCTTTCATCCATCCGCTTGACGTTCCTCATTCACCTCACGGAGACCTGCCCCCCCTTCACTTTCGCGCAAGTCTCCCTACGAACGCCAGCTCAAGTTGTCTTAAGATTGCCTGGATGCAGGAGGGCTTGCTCCATGTCCTTATTGATTTCAGCCTCGTGCAAGACATCCTCGCCACCGTCGTCCTCATTCTTTCGCAACTCCTCCTCGCGATCGTCTTCCTCCCCTCGCTGCGTTGCGTTCCGATGCGCCCCCGCTTCGCCCCGCGCCGCGACCGCAGCGGGCCTCTGCCGAGCCCCGCCGAGCCAGGCGGCCCCGCGGCCCCAGGAACGCCGGGGGCCAGCGTTGGCCCTCCTCCTCCCCGATCCTCCCTTCCGACGCCTCCCCCGTGGCCTTTTCCACCGTCCCTTCTCCCTCCGCTCCCGCCTCCCTCCTCCCACCTCGCGGCTTCCTCCTCCCCGTTCGTCCCTCACTCCCTCTCCCTCGCCCTGCCTCCGCACACTCGCGCAAAAGTGGTTCGTCCCACCCCGCTTCGGGCCAGGGGCACCACCCTCTCGGGCTGCCACTGCTTCCTGGTCAGGGATGGGAGGCCCAGAAATTTGCACCAACACCAACACAGGGGGCTGCCTCCACAGGGGGAAGATGATCCTCGATTTCGGTGTTGGTGGTAATATTTCGGTCACTTTGGGAGCCAGAATATTACCACCATCACCGAGATCGGGATCCTCTTCCCTCGGTGGAGGAACACCGCCGATATTGGTGTTGGTGTCAACCTCTAGGCCTGCAAAGAGAGTGGGTCCCCTGACCCTCTCTGCTGCTGCATGTGCAGTGCAGCTTAAAAGACCGAGGCTCCGTGAGCCTGGCGGGATCCATGAGCACGCGTGGGGATGGAGGGTCTCACCAGACTTGCGGTGCCTGCGAGCCCGTTCTGAGGGCGGGGACGTCCAGCCAATCCAGCAGGCTGCTGTTGCTGGACAGGCCGTAGGCAAGGAAGTTGACGTACTCCGCACACGCCTGAGACCCCTGGGGCACGGCGTCCATGACCTGCGCCGGAATATGCCTGCATGTGTGGCCCAGGCCGCTGTCCCAAGCGTGGCCAGAGAGGCGATCGCGGGCGAAATCTGCGTCACCAGGAGTGACGAAGTTCAGGAGGGCGTGCCCCATGTTCAGGGCCAGCGCGTCTCCAGCCGCCTGCACGATTGGCAAGTGCACGAAGTCGCACCTCGAGAGCAGCCCCAAAGCGTCGAGCGTCCCTTTCAGCATATTCTCCGTGTAGTGTGCCGGCACGTTCACGAGCATCAGCGAGGTGGGGCGGGACTCGCTTTCCAAGCTCCACGCCGCCGTCGACGGTGAGCCACCAGCCCAGGCCTGGGGGGGTACCAACGCCCCACCAATCTCATACCTGCAGGCGTCGGCTCCAAGCGGGAGCTTGCGGAACACGCGTGCGGTAGTGACGAGCATGCAGCCAGCATGGAATGATCGATTCTACTGTACTCTACTCCACTTTATTCAAATCACATTAATGACCCATGCTCTGATCTGCTCAGCGCTACTCTACTGTAAACCTCCCGCTGCTCGTGTAAGGATCGGGTCCGCACATACAAACATCTATACATAAATGCACACCTGGGTCCCCATTCCACTCTGCTCTGCCCTGCTCTGCTGTGGTCTACTCGACTCGGCTCCATACTATCTGCTCCCTGCCAGATGCTCTTTGCCGTGTCTTCTATCTAGTGTATGGTCCCTAGCGTGGGCACCAAACAATGAGCTCTTCACTCTGGCTGAGTAGATTATGTGGTGGTGCACGATGTGTAGTGCAAGCTATGCGCGCTGCAAGGGTGACCTCTATGTGTGGTGCAAGCTACCTAGAGCAAGCAATGTTGCGTAAGCAGTGTAGTGCCATTCAGGTGTGGTGCAATGTATGCGGTGCAAGCTATGTCGCGTGAGATATGTACCTGGCGAAGGCCCCGGAAAACCCACCCAGCGCACGGGGCGCCCGCGAGGCGCCCGTGGCCGCCCACCAGGCGAACCCCTGGCAACCCCACCCAAAGCACAGGGCGCCCACGAGGCGCCCACGGCAACCCGCCAGGCGAAACCTCGGCAACCCCACCCAGCACACAGGGCGCCAACGCGGCGCCCACGGCCGCCCCCCTGGCAAAAACCTCGGCGAACCCACCCAGCGCACGAAACCCCGGCGAACCCACCAGTTCCTTGGATAGGTGGAGTGTCAGCCAGCGTGAGCCCTAAGCGGTGTGCTTCTAGCAACCTGTGTGTTGCAATATGCGCGGAGCGATATATGTGGTGCAATCGATGTTCTGCCATATATGCTGTGCGCTAAAGGTTGTGCAACATATGCTGAGCAGTACAAATGGTGCGAGACACGCGGTGCAGCACACGTTGTGCAACATATGTGGATCAGTACGCCTGGCGCAATCTATGTGGCGCAATCTATGCTGTACAACACATGGTGCGTAACCTTTGTTGTGCGCTGGACATGCTGCGATTATGTGGTGCAAGTTCTGTGAAACAATCCATGATGTGCCATACATATTGCGCAATCGGGAAGCCATCTAGGTAGAGCACTCGATGTGGCGCATTTTTCTTTAGAGAAATCAGAACTGTCAACCCCAATGCCCGCGCAATCATCCCACCCCCCATCCGCAACTTAGTTTGCACAACCCATGCGGCGGCGATTGCGATGAATGCTTGGTGTTGGCTAGTGCGTCATTGCGACCGCGCTAGCCCGCGCATGCTCGCGCGCGCAGCGGCCAGCTCGTTTGGCGCGGCTGACGCGAGCGTGGTGGAGCCGACCGCTGGGAACTTTCCAGCGGGCACTTCAATGCCATTCGGCGATTTAGGCGGGCGCGGTATCATGACAACGTCGACGACGGTAGACGCGATGATGATAATAGCGATGTTAATGGCGATGGTGCCAACGACGACGGCACGGCCAATGACGCCGCCGATGCTGATCACGCCGACGACGATGACGGCGTCCTCGCGTCGGCGATGGAGGTTTTGAAAAGGAGTTCGACATGCGCGCGCGGTCGACGCGCGAGTGGCCCGCATGGTATTATCTGACATGGATCGGCCCCCCCTGCCCACCAGCACGCGCGCAAGGGCGTTCGAATGCATATGCCATTTGTGGCGCGAGAGGCCCGTTTGACATACTTTGAAGAACATGCTGAACCACTTACGTGTTTTTTTTTTTTTAATATGAGAATTCGCAAAGCGCGAACGCTGCCTTGTTTGAAAGCTGATCTTATAAAACCATGTGTTGTGGTATGGTTTCGGTGCGCTGTGGACTCTGGACGAGGATGCAAGTTTTCAAAGATTTCGGCGTGCGCGCGCGACGATGCGCGCGCGTACTGCGCCCTTTTTTTTGCACAGGGATTCTGGCGACAGCACGCGCGCAAAAGGGCGTTCGAACGATTTCGACATGCGCGCGCGAGAGGCCTGTTTGGTAGCACTGTATGAAACATTGAACAAACGACGGTTCCCTTGAGAATTCGCAAGAGCGCGACCGCAGTCTTTCTTTGCACATTCTCGTTGCGACAGCATTTGCTTCTACATGTTTTCGGCGCGGTCGATTGTGACATCCTCGCGAAACCTGAGGCTGTTGAAAGATTTTGGCATGCAGGCGCAACGGCGCGCGCATGTGCACTTCGTTTGTTTGCAAGCGGTTCATGCAAACTGATGGTTGTTGATGAACGAATGCGCGCGCAGCAGTTTTTGCAGAGGGCGAGGGGGGATGCAGGTTTAGCTGGGGTACAATGGATTCTTAGTTGGGATGGACATGTATGCAGAATACATATGACGGCGCACCGTGCGAAGGTGTGCCGTTAAGTCCGGGGGGGGGGTCGAGTCTATATCTGTTATACAGAGGAGAATATTCAAGTCGTGTATATATATATATGTACATGTATGTGTGTATATATTTACATACATATATATACACATTTACATTCACATAATCAGTTTTGTGCAACCTGCGTGGTGCGCGGTCTACGCGGTGCAATCGACGTTGTGCAACATGCGTGGCCCAATCTATGTTGTGCAATCTAAGGAGCGCAATGTACGTGGCGCAGCCTACGCGGCGCAATCATTTCTAGTCGCTGTGAGTTGTCCACTCCACGGCTCGCGCAGACATCCCACCCACCCACACGCAACTTGGCTTGCAAAACCCATGGGCGGCGATTGCGATGAGTGCTTGGAGTTGGCTGGTGCATCACTGCGGTCGCGCTAGCCCGCGCATGCGCGCGCGCAGCGGCCAGCTCGTTTGGCGCGGCCGACGCGGCCGCGGTGGCGCTGACCGCTGGGCACATCCCAGCGGGCACTTCAATGCGAGTCGGCGACTTGGCCGGGCGCGGTATCATGGCAACGTCGACAACCGTAGACGCGATGATGATAGTAGCGATGCTGGTGGCGATGCTGACAGCGACAACGGCGCGTCCAGTGACGGACGGCGCCGTTGCTGGTTGCGTCGACGACGACGACGGCGCGCTCGCGCCGGCGGCGACGAAGGTTTTGGAAGGAGTTCGACACGCGCGCGCGGCCGACGCGCGAGAGTGACCGCATGGACATATTGACATATTTGACACGACGCGCCCCCCCCAAAAAAAACGCGCGCAATGGCGTTCGGATGCTTGGCAGAATTCAATGACAAAATTGAAAAACATATTGTTCTCATAAGGGTGCGTAAGTGCGCGAGCACAAGTTTTTTTGAAACCTGTTGTTGCGAAACCACAAGTTTTTCGTGATATCGGGACGCTCGGTTTTGAATCCCCCGCGAAACCTTTTGTTCCCAACCATCCTGTGGTGTTGGGTCCTCGTTTTGAAAAGACGGTGCCCCGCGTTCTCCTCCTCCTTCCTTCCTTGTCCTCCCTCCCCCCTGCGCTTCACCCACCCAGCACAGCGCTTCGTGGCCCCATAGGGAGCCCCACCTAAGGTCCCAGTGGCGCAGCCCGCATGGCGCCGCCGCCCCATTCTGGCACACCCCTCGCACGTTTCGTGGCCCCATAGGGAGCCCAACCTGAGGTCCCAGCGGCGCAGCCCGCATGGCGCCGCCGCCCCATTTTGGCACACCCCTCGCACGTTTCGTGGCCCCATAGGGAGCTCCATCTAGGGTCCCACTGGCGCAGCCCACATGGCGCCGCCGCTCCATTTTGGCACACCCCTCACCCGTTTCGTGGCCCCATAGGGAGCTCCACCTGGGGTCCCAGTGGCGCAGCCCGCATGGCGCCGCTGCTCCATTTTGGCACACCCCGGCGCAACCTGCATGGCGCCGCCGCCCCATTCTGGCACACGCCTCGCATCTTTCGTGGCCCCATAGGGCGCTCCATCTAAGGTCCCAGTGGCGCAGCCCGCATGGCGCCGCCGCCCCATTCTCGCACACTCCTCACACGCTTCGTGGCCTTCTAGGGAGCTCCATCCAGGGTCCCTGTGGCGCAGCCCGCATGGCGCCGCCGCCCCTTACTGGCACACACCTCGCACGCTTCGTGGCCCCATAGGGAGCTCCACCTAAGGACCCAATGGCCAGTCTGCATGGCGCCGCTGCCCCATGTTGGCACACCCCTCGCACGTCTCGTGGCCCCATGAGGAGCTCCACCTAAGGTCCCAGTAGCGCAGCCCGCGTGGCGGCGCCGCCCCATTTTGGCACACCCCTCGCACGTTTCGTGGCCCCATAGGAAGCTCCATCTTTGGCCCCAATGGCGCCGCCCTATTCTTGCCCCCCCCCGTCGTCTCTCTGCCCAGCGGCCACAGCCTTGCCCGCTATCAGCCAGCCAGCTAGCTCTGTCTGCTCCGCGCAGCGGACGACCCGTGCGCGTCGCTGGGACCCCTTCGGGGCGACCGGCGCGCGTCGCGGGGGCCCCGTGCGGCGCCGCGCCCGCGGCCTCGGACATGGGCGTGCACGGGCAAAGAGAAAGAAAAAGAACGGGAAGGAAGCAGGCGCGATCCTCGGGAAGGAACGCACCGACATGGGCGTCGACGTTTATGCACGTAGACTGATTCGCACGCAGGCTCATTCACAATCATATTCACTCGCGCTCAGTCTCTCGCACAAAGACCCATCGTCTTCGCTCGCGTTGCGCGCGTCGCCACTCATTTCGGCGCGCCCCTCGCGCGGTTCGTGGCCCCGTAGGGGGCGCAGGCGAAGATGATATTCATAATTGCGGTATTCACAACTGCGCATGGTTGGGTCCTTCGCCATGATATTGTTTCACTCTCAGATTTTGGCATACGCGCGACGACGCGCGCGCACAGCGTCCCATTAGGTACACAAGACTCTCGCGACAGCGCGCGCAAAAATGTTCGAACGATTTTGACATGCGCGCGCGCGAAGCCCGTTTAATAGCATTGCGCGAACA